TTCTTGGAAGGCTGAGGCGGAAGGATCGCTGGAGCCCAGCAGGTTGAGGCTGTGGTGGCCGGGAGCGGACACTGCACTCCAGTCTGGGCGACAGAGTGAGACGTCAACTCAAAAATAAATAAATAAAATAAATAAATAAATAAAATAAAATTTTTGCAGAGATAGAGGTCTCACTGTGGTGCCCAGGCTGGTCTTGAACACCTGGCCTCAAGTGATCCTCCTGCCTCAGCCTCGCAAAGCACGGGAGTTATAGGCATGAGCCGCCGTGCCTGGTCAGGCAACAGTGTTTTCTTTTAGGAGCTGTGATACACGCGGGAGAGGACTCCCAAGTTCAGAACAAAGACTTTTCCTTAGGAGAAAAATCTTCAAGGGACATAAGAGGTGTCAATCAGGGTCCACTTTCCAAAGCGCAGCCCAAGTCTTCTGCTTAAGTCCCAGCGCTATGCAACGTCCAGTGAAGGCACAAGGCACCCACTAGCCATCTTAGAGGCAGGCAACATCCTAACGTCCCTGACCTTCACTGTCTGTGACCCTGACTGGTCTCTGAGGCTTCACAGGACACAGCTTGAAACCCACACCCTATGGGACAGGAGGCCTCACCCTCACGAAGTGACCTGGTCTGTCTCATCACTATCTCTACCTCCGTCTCGGGCGGAGCCACCACCATCCGTGCCTGCACCCCACACCCTCCTCCTGCCGTGTCTCCCTGCTTCCACCTCCAACTTCTCTGCCTCTTCTTTCTCTTCCTCTTTTTTTTCCTTTTTAACTCCTGAGCTCAAGTGATCCTCTGGCCTTGGCCTCCCAAAGTTCTGGGATTACAGGTGTGAGACACGGCACGGCGCCCGGCCTCTACTGCCTGTTTGCAACGTGGCCACCAGAGCGACCCTCCAAAAACAGTCAAAGCCCGCTGCTCTGCACAGACTGTCAATCACAAAGGCCTTCCTCTGGCCTAAACATCCCCACACGATCTACCCTCCACCCTCTTCCCCTCTCATGTCACCCTGGCCTTCCGGCGGGTCCTGGAACTTTGCTAGAGTGTTCCTGCCTCCCAGCCTCTGCACTCGCTGGACTCTGGGCGCAGCTCACTCCTTCCTTTTGGAGGACTTTGCTCAAACGTCATGGCTTGACTCTGCTGCTCTCTGGCCCTCAACCACGGACTTTTCCTCACAGCACGAGCTGCCACTTGACCGTACATTATACACTCACTCACTGACGGATAGCTTTCTGGTTCATCTCCCTGCCTGGAGTGTAAGTCCCAGGGGTAGGGAGGTGGATTTGCATTCAGAGCAGAAGCCCTCACGTCTGGCCAGACTTGTCGGAGTACACCAAAAACTGGCGGGTCCACCTGCCACCTTATCCTTCAGCAACCGCATGGGCCGGCCTGGTGTCCCAGACAGCACTGATACCCCCTCGCTTGTGTGCCCAGAGTTTGAGCCTTCAGCCAGGCACTTATCTCAGGCTATTTTATTTCTCTACATATCCGTCTCCCCTGCTCCTACAGGCGCTGCTTTGAATTCCCAGGCAACCAGCACCCAGCACCCAGCCAGGAGCTTAGTGCGCATGGCTCAGCTGCCCCTATGGGTGGGATGAGTAACAGGACTTACAGACCGGGATTTCTGCACTGCACTCCAGCCTGGGCAACAAGATGAGAGCGAAAAAAAAAAAGCAGACTGGGACTTCAGCTCTGAGGACTCGCTAAGCCTGATCCTGCCTCCCTTCTTACCTGTGCTCAATCATTTATTCAGCTAAGTTGATGAGGCCTGCTCGGTGTCTGGCTCAGACAAAGGGAACCAAAGGCTGGCCATCCAGCCCCATGGACCTCAGGTCAGCAAGGGACACAGAGAAGTTCACAAACACAGAGAACTATTTTTTTTTTTTTTTTTGGAGTTGGGGGTCTCACTCTGATGCCCAGGCAGTAGCACGATCATGGCTCACAGCAGCCTTAACCTCCAGAGCTCTGGCGATCCTTCCACCTCAGCCTTCTGAGTAGCTGAGACTACAGGCATGTGCCGCCATGCCTGGCTAATTTTTTTATTTTTATTTTTGTAGAGACGAGGTTTTGCTACATTGCCCAAGCTGCTCTCAAGTAATCCACCTACCTTGGCCTCCCAAAGTGCTAAAGTTACAGGTGTGAGCCACCACACCCACATGAGAACTCTTTTAAGTTGGAAGAAGTGCCCTGAAGGGAACCAGTGGGGTCAAGTGTGCTTGTGGGCATATCAGGGAAGACCCTCACAAGCATGGCATTGTTTGGGAGGGGCCTCTGAGGCAGGGGCAAGGTGGGTCTGAAGGACACGGGGGCATCCCTATGAAGAGTGGGGTCAGGGCCTGGAGCCAGAAGGTGCATGTGTTCCCAGGTGGCTGGCTCAAGCAAACCCAGCCCAGGCAGGGAGGACTGCCCAAGGCACACCCAGGGCCGGTGCACAGGGCCCCATCCCAGTCAGGCTCAGCCGGACCGCTCCCCTCCCCTCCCTTCTCGAGGCTGAGATCCTTAGGACCCACACAGATGACAGGCACCAGGAGTCCAGGGTCCGGAGAGCCCACCAGCTGTGTCCAGGCCTTCCCCCGCTCCGGCCGGGGCTACTCACCCCGCCGCCACCTGGGGCGCTGCGCTGTGTGGAGACCGGGACTGCAGGCTCCTTGTAGCCATAGGACTGGGCCCCCTGCTGCTGCTGGGGCTGCTGGTAAACTGGGGGATGGGAGAAGACAGGCTCAGACACTGTCCAGCCCCAGTGCAGGCCCTCCCACAGCTCCCAACCCACAGCCTGGCCCCAGTCACATTTCTCAAGGTTTGTGGCCATGCATGTCTGCTCGTGCCGTGCGTTCTGTCAAAAGCAAGGGCTGTGAGCCCCACCACACCGGGCCTGCCTTTCTTTTCTCCTTTTTTTTTCTCTTCTTTTGAGTTAGGGTCTTACTCTGTCACCCAAACTGGAGTGCAGTGGCATGCTTACAGCTCACCACAGTCTTGACTTCCTGGGCTCAGGTGACCCTTCTGCCTCAGCCTCTTGAGTAGCTGGGAATACAGGTGCGGGACATCACACTAGCTAATATTTTTATTTTCTGTAGAGACAAAGGCTCACTTTGTTGCCCAGGCTAGTCTAAAACTCCTGGGCTCAGACGATCTTCCTGCCTTGGTCTCCCAAAGTGCTGGGATTTCAGGCATGAGCCACTGCACCTGGTCTTTCTTTTCTTTTTTGAGTTGGAGTCTTACTGTCACCCACGTTGGAGTGCAGTGGCATGCTCACAGCCACAGCAGCCTCCACCTGCTGGGCTCAGGTGATCCTTCCTCCTCAGTCTTCCAAGTAGCTGGAAACAGGTGCACACCACCATGTCCAGCTAATTTTTTTATTCATTGTAGAGACAAGGTCTTGTCAAGTTGCCCAGGCTGGTCTTGAAGCCCTGGGCTCAGGCAATCCTCTCACTTCCCCCTCCCAAAGTGCTGGGAGGACAGGTGTGAGCCACTGCACCCAGCTTTTTTTTTTTTCTTTTAAGAGACAAAATCTCATTCTTGTGCTGGACGAAGTGCAGTGGTGTGGTGCAATCACAGCTCACTGTAGCCTCCAACTCCTGGGCTCAAGTGACCCTCTGGCCTCAGCCTTCCGAGGAACTGGTTCTGAGTAACTGGGACCACAAGCATATGCCACCATACCTGGCTATTTCTTCTTCTTCTTTTTTTTTTTTTTGTAGAGACGGGTCTTACTATGCTGCCCAAGCTGGTCTTGAGCCCCTGGGGGCTTGCCCTTCGGAGGCCCTCAGTCCAGCACAGGCTGAACCTGTACTCGGTGTACCCCTAGCACTCCCAGTGTCCTCCCTGAATGGGCCCAGGGGTTTGGGAAGCAGCCCTTTTCCATTGTGTCGGCGAAGCATCTCTCCAACCCCCTCCTCACCCCAAAGTGGGCCTGGCCTCAGGTCCCCCTCGCCCCACACTCACCCGGGGCACTGGTCGGGATGTGGTGAGGCTGCTGTTCCGGGGGCCGCCGGTAGCTGCAGCTGTCCTGGGAGTCCCGGCGCTCCGGTTCCAGGCCCTCGCCCCCGCTGGGGCCCATGCGGCTCTTCTCAAACTCCTCATGGTATTTTATCTGCAGGGGCAAAAGGCGCTGGGTGAGGGAGCCCCTGCAAACCAACGACCAGCCAGTCCCCTGCAGCTCTCACTCAAGACCCCAGGATGAGGGAGACTTTGGTGGCTCCAGGTGGAAAGAGCCAGGCCTTCTCCAGGAGTGCCAGCTGCATGCCCTTGGACAAGCTCCCTAATTGTGTCAAGCCTCAGTTTCCACCTCTGCAATATGGGGCATCAGTGTCTCTCTGCCTTGGTCGCGGCTGGACGTGCAAAGAGGTGACATGTAAAAAGGCCATGCAAACCAAAGCATCGGACAAACGCGAGCTGTCGATTTCCTACGCCTGTGGCTGGGCTGTGGGCCGGCTGCTGCCATCCTGTCCTGTCCACAGCAACCACAGCAGCAGCGCTGGTTTTCCAAGTGCTCGCCGGGCCAGGTGGTTCACTCTCTCCTATGAGAAGTGCACTGCAGCCTCCCCAGGACAGACAAGAAAATGGAGGCACTGATGAGCAGTCGCTCAAGACTGCATGGACTCCAACCCTTCACTGGGCAATTCCGCCCCTCGTGTGCTGACATCGCAGAGGCTAGAGTCTAGGACACTCTGCTGAGGACCTCGGCCTGCAGGGACAAGAGACGCCAGACCCTCCCTGATGATGGAACATTGGCTCGGACATGGGTTCCTTCTCTCATCAGGTTCCCCAAAACGCTCAGGCCCAAATAAGCCATGCCCCTCTGATGTCTCAAGCCGGCCTCCCTCCCCCACAGTGCACGGATAGCTGTGGAGACCCAGCCCCAACCCCCACCACCCAGGAGTCCTAAATCGGACCTCATCTCGTCCGAGAACTGCAACTTGTGCCTGCCAGGGACTGGCAGTGCCAGTCACCAAGGTCAAGAAGGTGGAGGGAGCCAGATACCCACTGTGCAAAGTCGGGAGAGGGCACAGGACTCAGTTTCCCTAGCTTGATTCAGACTCCACCTGGCCTCAGTCCTCCTCCTAGTTCTGAAAAACTGCCCAGCTGGCCTCCTGGAATTGTGTCAGACTCCCCGGGAGAGGCCTGCAAAGGTCCCCTGGACCCCAGCCCCGGGGCCAAGTCTCAGGAGGACCACAGGCAGCTCCCAGCACTGGGTGGTCCTGGCCCTTAGCAGGCTGGCCTCGGGTCTTCCTCCAGCCTCATGATGCCTGCAGCCTCACACCTCACACACCTGGAGTCCAGCCGTTCTTGCCCCACCTGAGCTGGCCCAGGTCAGGTGCCTGGCCAGTACAGGACACGGAGGAGTCAAGGTCCCTATTCCCAGGCACCCTCATCTCAGATGGGCTCAAGACTTTCACTGAGTGCACCTGCAGCAGGAACTACACCGTAAGAAATGCAGGTGGTAGCCGGGCTTGGTGGCTCAGCCTGTAGTCCCGTGCCTTTGGGAGGCTGAGGTGAGTGGATTGTCTGAGCCCGCGGGG